CTCTCTTACTTAGAAATAACATAAAGTGCTCTGTCCCAATTATGCTGTTTGTCTGGATAACTTGAGTGAAATCTCTGTGCGTGTAAACCCAACTAACGTCACCTGAAATGTCAATGACATTTGTAGAATAGTTATGCGAGTTATCAGCTATGATAACTAGCACTGGGATAAGCAAACTATTGCTTAATATCAACTCCAATGTTGTCCTGGAGATAGCGAAAAAGCAGAGGGGAGCGTCATTATAGTTTGAGAAAGACAGCTTGATTCATATTGGACAAGGGAACACTTACAGCTGTTCATTTTCAATCTGCGTATGCTGTGAATGGCAACACCGTTGGCACATGATGCGTCCCACTAGAAATAAATGATTGGGCTTAATATTCATGCTTGTCAAACACGTCAAGTTATCAACATATTTCTATTTACTAAATGACATGCCTCTCCTTTTAATTATGCAAATTTGAGTGATTACAATTAGTACAACAATGATGACAATTAAACATTACATAATACCACACTTAATCATGACATAATTTGCCAAGTGAAGTTGAATTAGCTTAAGAGGCACACCTGACTGAAATGGAGCCACTGTTGATGAGTCATAGTCACATCCCCTGTGATTGACAAGTCACAATGTCCTCAGTGTGGAAGATCCATGAATGGATATAAAAGTTCAACAACAGGATTATAGGATTACGTTTGGTTTTGGTTTAGTGAGTCCAGTATGATAAAGTACATACAGTAAGATAAGTGCACTGAAGTCGAGGTGAAGCCAGGAGCCAGCACCAAGAGGAGCTGGAGTGTGTGACGGTGGTTGGATGAGGCAGCATAGCCGATGCAGGAGGCCTAGTTCCTCCTAACATCCCAGAGGAGGAGAGCAACATAAATATTTGAAAGCAGAGAGAACCCAACACAATTACATTAATACGTGGGTGGGATAAAGTCCACTTTACCTCGGGACTATGGGGGAGAAGATCCTGAAAGCTGGATGCTTTGCCCCCCAACAAATTATTATGAGTTAAATTATCAACTAGACTGAGCTGGAAAAAGTATGGCACATTTTTCACTTTAGAAATGACAACTTTTGGTAAAAAAAACAAAAAAGGAGTTCATTGTTCAGTCCTTTGGTGCTTTAACTCGTGAATTCTGGCAGGTGAGCTCTTGCAGCTTCAGCAGCTATAAAAAAGAAATGCATGTCATTCTCACAAGGATTGCACTGAATGTATTATTGTGGAGTATGAATTCTCCTCACTTGAAATAAAGACCACCTTTCAAAGAGAGGCCACGCTTACCTCTGCTAACCAACTGCCTAGGAAAAAAAACTTATATACTGTATGCCCTGGTTTGACCCATTTTTGGAAATGATATCACTCCAGCATTGGTCTAGGAGTGTCTCAGTTAATTAGACTACTGCAAGGCCTGGAAAAATCTGACTGAACTGGTTAATATGGCAGCTATACAGAGCCAGAGTCCTGTCGTCACTGTGTGGCAGCGCAGATACTTACGTCATCGTACCATGGTTTTGTCCAAAAACAATTAAATTCAACAGCAGGGAAGTTCTGGTTTCACTTCAGCTCTATATGAAACAGAGAAGGGTTTAGGAATGATATTCACACCTTGAAGTGTCACCTTCCTTCAAACATCATCCTAGTAGCGACGTGTTGCCATCTATGACAGCTCACACCATTTGGCCGGATGAAGCATCTGCTGGGGCATCTGCTGTTAGCACCGTTAACCAGGGAGCACACTGACTAATCTCAGCATCGTCTGGATGTTCAGAGTCAAGCCACAAATAACTTGATTAGTGCTGAGCAGCAGTGTGTAGGACCCTGTCTGCCTGTTACTGTGTATGTGTGGCTGCTGTCCCTGCAGGTATTGGAGGTGGGCGTGGCAGAGGGTCATCAGCAGCGTGGAAACACCTGAGCTCATCAGCAACACTGGTTGGTTGACCTTTATGATTTGTTCTTACACTCACACAACATTGCAGACACGCATTCATGCACTCACCTACACTGCTGAACTCACTGACTCCACACGCCACCGTTAGTTTCAGCTTTCCTCTGATGCTGCCTTTAAGTTAATGAATCATTTTTTAATTGGCTCGATCGTGTGTGTCATGGCCGTGCGGCCCGGTTTGTGACAAGTGTTGATGATCAGAACTGCCAGACAGATAGGACTCTGTTAGAGCGTCGCCTGATACCTCGTTTCAGCGCCAGTGTTGGATATTTTCTGTGGGAGTGGGTTGATATTAATGGTGCAGTGGAAGACTCTCAAAGAGCCCCACATGTTCGATTCATGATTGGATTCATGCACAGTTTGAGAAACACTTTGCGGTAAGTTAACAAGAATGCTCAAACATTGAGGCTGTCGTATTCTGATGTCAAAACCCTTTTTATACATTTTTCTCTCTGCAATTACAGCAGTCTGTTCCATGCTCAGTTGTGTTCTGTTTCCCGCCTCTTGTGCGTGTGTATGTGAGAATCCGTATGAGGGTTTATTCTCTGTAATCTTTTAATGACATGCACTAACGACGCGTTGAGGCTCAGAAAGAGCCCAGGCCATGAAACACACGCAGAATGACTGAGGCTCAGTGGAAGGATCCACTGGGAGATTAGCCAAATCAGAAAAGCGTTTTAGAGAAAGGCAGCTTTAACGCAACACAACACAGATAGTGTATGTGTGTCATGGAGAGAAGAGATAGATGCCCACAGCTTCAAACCCAACATTATGTTTGCAACTCTCCCCGCCTGAGCCCTCTCGTTTTATCTCCTTCATCGAGTTTACAACCGTAGCATCCTGCCACTCAGCGTCAACATTTATCACTGGCAGTTACATGCTTACAGTACAATTCATTCTGCTGTTTTGATTACATATTTTTCCCATAGTGTACTGTCTTTGAATGGTTCTATATTTAAACCTACATTAACCTCATCTCATCTGCAATACTTAATGACAGTACTTGTCCCTCCTGGGTTGTGACTGAGTAGAGTTTCCCATGTACTTGTCAAAATCAATGACTTGCAGAGATAGTAGAAATGGAAAGAAATGACCTGATTGGAAGTCCAGTACATAGTGTATGCGACTAGTAGGCACTGCTATTTTTAAATGGGATCATTTGCTCTTTTTTTCTCAATCTTTATGCATTACAAACCCAACAATGCTGGATTTTTTAGGCCCGTGGAGTATAGTTTTAAAGTGTAAAACAATCACAAAAATTTAGAGGTAATATAATTTTTTTTGTAACAACAACTAACACCTTTGAAAATGGATCACAAAAATGTGATTATTAAAGGATTACGACCGAGATTTGCACTAAAAACAGTGGAATTGGCTCTGCCTGAAATAAGGGGGTAATCATCAGTGTTGTGATTTAAACTGATATGTGACGCTTTATAAATTACCTCAAAGTACGCTATCTGCCTGATGTAGACGTTTTACCTATTAATTGTTTTAAAAACTAATTTAGACTTTTCTGGAAGAAATAAAACAACAAACACTGTCACCTGCTGCATGCCACGTGACAAAGTAATAGCAATAGCACAGTCTCGATCTTCAGAATCAAGAGCAGGTTCAGCGATTCTCCAAGAATTTTGTTTTCCACCCACGCCTAAAGAAGAAAAAAACACTTGAAAGGCAACACAGTGTAGCTTACCAGTAGCCTGCTGTGGCACTGCGAGACAACATGGCCACTGCCGGAGTTCTAGTTGACAGAAAAACAGAACTAGAAAATCCTCCTGCTTCCCTGAAGTCACAGAGAAACTACAGGTTGTTGTAAAGTACCCTTTACTCATCGAGTGGCGTCTGTGTTATGAGTACTGCCTGCAATGAGCAGCTCACATTTTTCCTTTTCCTTATTCACCTGCATGAGATTTCCGTGATGAAAACTTCAGCCAAATGAACCGGTTTGTAAAAAAGTAAAAGTCCCTCCGACGACGACGACGACGACACAGAGGTCAGCAAAGGAAGAACAGCTTTCAATATTTAGAGCCTTTTCCGTCTGTTAAAGAAGAGTTGACAGTGTTCAGAGCTGTTTGTTTGAAGCAGGAACTAAAGATGATACAATTTAATTAGAACAATAACAGGAAAGCAACTACCAGTTATTGATGACATCTCTTGGAGCCAACACAATAACACCAGTAGTTTGAGTTTCCTAATGCCTCGAGGTTTCTTGGAAATCAACTCACACCGACGTCATCGATAATGCTTCTAGCTCCAAGCATCTAATGGTTGGTTGAATCTTCACAAGCATTAATAGTCAGGGCCAAAACAAAATGCAGAGATTTGTATTTTCTTTTGAAAGGTTTTATTCATTTCATATAATACTGACACATGTACTCAATAGTGGTTAACAGGCGTTTAAAAACACAGATATTAAAACCATTAGAGCGTCACTTTATTTTTAGCCCCGTTGATTCCATGGACCATTTTTTTTTACACGTTTACATGTTTCAATATTTTATAACATCTACTTGATATTCGTCTAAGCTCACCCTGAAAGGATTTTGTCCTTTGTCAAAAAACAAAAGCAAAAAGAAGACTGACAAACTGTCTCTCCATTTTAGAAAATGGCATGTGGTAAGCCACAAACTATTCAAGGTAAAATACTCTTATGGAGGTGAGATCTGAACAAAAGTAACGGTTTACTTTCAGATCTGAGAAACACTTTGACAGCATCAGGTGTGTCACATGTGGCACAGTTAAGTTTAAACGTGTCATCCCGACTACATGAGACAGCCATTCTGGATTCCACCCCCCATTTTTGTAGTGACATTTATAATGCAGGATAGTCGTCTAAAGTCCAGACCCCCTTTATTCCCAGTATGCGTATGGAACACAACTAAGCCATAGAAGAGAGATGAAGAATACAGGTTGTTGAAAAGAAAGTATTTTTTTGTCATTTAATCAAGTGCTGCGTAGGTCATAGTTCACTTGGTTGAAGTTGTTGTTTGTAGAAGCAGTGAAGGATTGTGGGTGATGCGGTCCTTTGCGGTAGAGGACCAAGGACACTCAGTTGTGTTTAAGTTGATAGAAGACGGTGTTAGAGTCCTGTCTCTTCAGCCTCCACATCTTGGACATCCTCAGAAAAATGAAACAATTACTGGTTCCTCATAGAAGTCTGAGTGCGTCCCCCCTCCACTGATAGGTCCATTGTGCTATTTAAGTAACTCCAACGCCACTTCTGCTCTCCTTCAGACGGGCAGGACTATCGGGTCACCTGAAACAGGGAGAGAAGAAAGTAGGTCACTCAAAATAGTCCAAAAAAAACAAAAACACACACAGAAATCCAATTTCGGTAGAACATATGAAACGATGCAGTGACTTGGCGCACGGTCTGCTATTTGGGAATGGGAAGCGATTCATGTTGGTGGAGCACCGACATCGTGGCTAGCACGTTGTCCTTTCTCTCCTGGCAAGAGACTAAACCAGACACAGCTTGAATTATGGCCCACAGTGTCTCCCCTCTCAGCGCCTGGCCCGCTGCCATGTCATTTCGTCTGTTTGTCGAGACGGCTGCTCTAATCACATGGTCTCTTTATCTCGTCTATCCATCTTTCCATTTTCTTTGCCCATGGACTCATTTTTGGTTTATTTCAAGCTATTAGGAGACATTGTCAACCGGCCAACGAGCAAACAGACACAAATTGCTGTGTAACTGCCAGTGCTTGGGCATGTAGTAGACCAGTCTCCCCAAGTTTACACTGTTTTTGTCTGCATGCCTTGTCTTTCTCATTGTGTTTCCCCAGTGGCTTCCCCTGTTAGCTCCAACACATGCTATCCCCTCTGTGTTTTCTGTCGAGGGACTACGGTCTTTTGTCCGACCCAGGTGCCAGCTAACAAGTGTGAAGGCCAGCCATCACTGAGAGAGCTCAGAGGAGCGTTATCTCCAAGCTGTTCTACTGTATCTGCCTCCTATGGCTCCAGGCCACCTTTCCTGGGCCCGGATCTCATTGCCTTCAGGCATCTCCTGCTGTGCCTGATCAAAGAGACTGCAGGCGTTTGTTGTCACGCCAGTTCACTATACACACACACCTCTCTGTGGCTTCCATGTTTTAAGGTGTTTCAAGGTCCCTTTAGGTGTTCATCCCCTTGCCTGTTTGAATATCCCTGTAGGTGGCATTTTCTGTGCCCAATTAGAAAGCGGCTGTAGGTAGTTAGATCTCAAGTGTCACATCCAGGCCCATGAGCTTCTCTTGTGTATTCTACAAGCTATAGCTGTCTACACAAGTGGCTGCTCAGATGGCCGAAAGGCAGATGTCCCCTACAGTCCGACATTTTACTCTTTATGACTCACGTAGTCACACAAAGTTAGATTCAGAAAAGCCATTATTTATCATTTTCTTTACACGGGTCTTGATTCCCTGTTTGTATTGTTTCTATCGAAGGTGCTTTCAGAATATGTAAAGTAAGTTTTCTATATAGGAAGTGAAACATACACCTTGTCATTGCTCTGTTGACGTGTCGCTGCTTGTGCATCTACTGTACGCAAATGACACACACATGCCTTGCAGGGTACGACAGCTCAGTGGCTTGGCAGCCCGGCCGTGTCTGTCTGCTCATCCATATGATATTATTTGGCATTGATCGAGCTGTCTCCCGTCCCCTCCCTCTCTCCTCCCTCTGCCCTCCTCCTCTCCTCCTCTCCTCTGCTCCCAGCCAGGAATGGATGGAGGAAAGGATGCAGAGTGCCAAACCCTCTTTTGTGTTCTTGCCTGCTCAGTGTACCCAGACACACATGAGCATAAGCTCCATGTCAGCTGACCAGTTCCAATATTCTTTTATCTTCCTTTCACCTCTGCCTCCACCTGTTATTTTTTCTTTCTCATCCATCTCCCACTGCCTCTTTCTTCCTTTCTTACTGCTCTCTCTCTCTCTCTCTCTCTCTCTCTCTCTCTCTCTCTCTCTCTCTCTCTCTCTCTCGTCAATTTCAATTTACGAGCGGGTCTTAATGGGACTATAAGAGAGTGTTCGATGCTATTGATCTGGATGCCTGCGCATCTTGACCTCAACGTACCACACCAGAGGAGAAAAAAAATCACTCTTTTCATCATCAGGCAAACACATCAGCTAAAACGCTCACATGGTGTGTAAACACACACACACACACACACACACACTAACACACACACCAACACAACAGTCACACACTCACACAGATCATTGATCAAAGACCTGAATGCAAGAGACAGCAAATATTTGTGCTCTTTCAAACTACGACGGAGTCGATGATAAAGCGATGCTTGGCTGACTCTGGTTTGCTTTGATCTCGCTCAGGAAATTATGAATGCCCACTTTGGGTTTGATAAAACTAAATGCATGAGATCAGATATATGAATCGACTTCACAACGGCACACTCGCATATTCAGAAATTACATTATCTTCATATCTGATCAACCCTCGTGTGCCTCTTTCTTCAATTATGCCCGATGCACACTCCAAAACCACTCTGTCGTTTTCTATTTCCGTCTCTTTGTCTCTTTATCGCACTGTGATCTGAGAAGTGAATGTGGAAAGTTCAGTAACACTTACGAAGAGGCTAACACATATTTGAGCTTGGGCCAGCACTCTGAAAAGTATTTCAGAGTGAGAAGGGAAGAGCGTAACTCGAGGGTGTGAGATCCACTTTGCTAGGTGAGAGGTGAGCGGAGGAAAAAGCAGGGGAGGAATCCTTAATCAACCAGGTGTATAGGACTTTCAGGAAAGAGAGAGGAGCCTGCGCCTGTCTTCTGCTTTACTTATCCGTCTCTTTCTCCCAAGGAGATGCACTCTCCACTGACCACGCCTTCAATCAATTATTTAGGCAGAAAACAAAGGTCTGCACCCGCCATGAATAATGGAAGACGAGAAGGCAGAGAGAAGGATGGAGGTTAGAAACAGAAGCATTCAGTGACAAGAGGTGAGTCCGAACAAATTCCCTCCCATAACAGGCAGCCGGGAGTCTGCTCATGTCAAGTCACTGAGGAGAAGCCAACAGGTGCCGGGACTAATGTACATCAACACCTACACACACACACACACACGCACACACACACGCACACACACACACATAAAGACACAGACAAATGGACGGCACTTGAAAATGTAGGAAATACAAGTAAGAGCACACACATTCCCAAACCGCACATACTGTGTTATGGGCGAACAGGAGCGTAAAAAAACTATCCGAGGACAATTACCACTCTAGTGTATCCGCTTAGTGAGTTGTTTTTGCATCGAGTCAGATGGCATGCCAGTCAGAAGCAGGGCAAGTGGGAGTGAAGGGAATTGTGATGTTCTCTCTGCCTGTGTGTGAGTGTGTGTGAGTGTGTGTGAGTGTGTGTGTGTGTGTGTGTGTGTGTGTGAGAGAGAGTGTGTGTGTGTGTGTGTGTGTGTGTGTCCTATTTTCCTTGTTCCTGTTGGCCTTGTTTTTTCTTCAGAGACTGTGTGATGTTAGATCCAAGATGGGCAGGATGAGAAAGTAAAGAGAGATAAATTGGGTGAGAAACATAATGATGTGGAGGGAAAAAGAGAGAAGAGTATAGGGGATGGAGACAGGATTCAGGTCAACAGGTGGAAGTGGGTCACTTGGTGGCTGGTCTGACCTTGTATGTGCATGCATGTATGTGGGAGAGGGATGAGAGGAGTGTTTGTGTGTGTGAGAGAGAGAGAGAGAGAGAGAGAGAGAGAGAGAGAGAGAGAGAGAGAATTTGAGATATTACAGAGGGAGACATTGTGTGAACACCAACCTTTGTGGTCTTGACTTTGTTGCCTGTGCTGCAGCTCCATCCTGTGAGGTCTGGGAGAACCTTACACTCTTCACCATCCATACACGGATGCATCTGACACCACCACTTCTGAGCTACAATGGAGGCTGGGGGGGGGGGGGCGGGAGAAGAGGGAGGAAAATATTTAGTTTGGTAATGACGGAACTCGATGTTTGTGGGAGTTTTCATTTCGTGCTTCCGTGTGTTTCAAGACCGTGTATTTGGGAATTTCAACAAAATGTTTGTTTCCAGCCACGACGGCTGCATATATTAGGAGTTGGGTGCATCAAGATAAACAGTTGGTAGTAGAGCTGCAATCAATCATCATTTTCATGATTGATTTCAGTTTAATATAGCGATGCAACAATACGACTTTTTCAACCCCGGTACAGAAAGTGATACTTGGGCTTCTGCTGATTGCGAGTACCGATCTGATACCAGTGTTTAATTAATAAGCCGCATGCCCCACTCTGTGGATGAGACTAGCATCAGTAGATGTGTAAAATAACAAATAAATACAAATGTACTGAATTGTTACTTATTAGAATAATGGTATCCGATACCAGATTGGCATATTGTCACTGATACTCGATCCAGCTGTTTGAGTCAGTATTACAAGATTATTACATTACATTACAGTCATTTAGACGCTTTTATCTATAGCGACTTACAATTCAGATTCTATCACATTTCTACACCGTGGGCACAGCTACGGGAGCAATTTGGGGTTAAGTGTCTTGCTCAAGGACACATTGACATGCGACTACCGGGGCCGGAGCTGGGGATTGAACCGCCGATCTTCTGCTCTCCACTTAGCCACGGGGGTGAAATCCACTATCAGTATCGATTAATGTCTAGTTTAATTTGATATAAAACAGTGACAAGCAGGAAATCTCCCTATTTAAGAGGCTGTAAACAGCGTTTTCTGCCATTTTGACATGAAAAATTAAAACTGTAACGATTAATTGATTAAAATGTTTTTTCCATAGTTGTCTGTCAATCTACTACTCAATTAGTCGACTACAACTTTTGGTCTCTTCAGTGGAGCGGCAGCTTCAGTTTAGATCACATGCTCTATGTGTGTCATGATTTATTTGCTTAGTCTGATTCCATTGCACGTTGTCTCATTTAGCTTTTTAATAAATCAAGTTGTTACTGCATGCATGGGCACGAGATTTTTGTGGGTTTAATCAGCACAGAAGGGACCATTTACATTTTCAATTCATGTAGAACAAAAAGGACAAAACTGGAGGCAAGATATGCGTGAGACAGCTGGGATATGATGTAATCTTTTAGGGGTTGAAAGTAAATTTGTTCTCAACATGTTAAATCAGATAGAAATTAATTGTTTCTTTAGGAAAGACAAAACGGGAAAAGGCTTCGAAAGACCGGACGCATCAAGAACAAGGTGATTAAATATCATCACAAAGAAAAGAAGAAGCAAATAACACTCACCTCAGTAAAAGAATGTGCAAACATATGAACAATGTTCTTATCATTACCCTTTATTTATCTGTCACTCTAAAGACTTTTAGCCACAGTCAGTTACCAGGTAATATAACATGTAAGGATTTCAGTAATTGCCACTCCAACTTAGAAACTAAACACATTCTCAGAAAACAGCCTGTACTCGGTGACATAATTCCCAGGAGATTAGAGACACTTTGAGATACTCTTCTTGAACAGTCCGACTCTGAGGAATATTCAGGGGATTTCTTAGTAATGAGTTATTGCAGATAACCGCTTTGAGCAGAGAAGTCCCAGTATACAAAGCCCAGGCCGCCTTTCATCAAGTCATCATTATGTGGTCTGTCAGAATTTGTGTCAGCTCAATATTGATGTCATATCCTCAGGCAATTTAAGAGTTTTATGGTTTGTAAACCCTCTCTAAGTGGATAGAGTTGTGAGCACTTAGAAATGATTCCCTCATATATTAAGCAGTGGTGGAATGCAATTCAGTACATTTACACAATTTTGAGTTAATTGTAATTTACTTGAGTATTTTCATTTTATGCTACCTTATACTTCAACTCCACCACATTTATCTGACAGTTGCAGTTACTTTTAAGATCAAGATTTTGCAAAGAAAACATGTAATCAGTATATTAAATAAGATTAAACTACCTCAAAGTATATCAACAAAGTGACTCAGCTCCACCAGCTATAACTCTAAAATGTAGATGCAGTTAATTCAGTTGTTTTTTTAATTTAAACTTTATTTGACCGGGAAAAGCCTGCTTAACAACACAGGCAGCGGCACATTAAACAACGTTAAAGTTGCATTTGCTCATTTGTTGACTTTAAATACCTTTCAAACGATTTAGAGTTTTAGCATGAAATCCATTGGCAAGGAACAAGAGAGCCGGAGAGACTGCAGTCTGTGATTCCTTAAAGTGTCACTCTTACAGCTGCAGGCTCTGGTTTGTGCACTACTGTGAAACGAAGCTCGTTTCTGTTTAAAAGGCACAGAAACACATTTGGGTCTGCACAATCAACCCTTCATTCATTGTCAGCAAAGCAGCTCCACAGAGACAGCAGTTCCTGGAGATTCTAATATTTTCTGCAGGACATAAAATTGACTCAAGTGGTCAATATAACAGCAGGGACACATGAATGCCTCCTCATGGAGCATTCTCCCTATTCTGCCTCTCAGTTAAGAAGTCATTCTGTTATATTAGATGTTATATTACATTTGTGTGTCGTTGGCGTTATTTGCTTGGTTGTGAAGCACATATTACTTTTATTGTTAGAATAGTTCAGATTCGGTTTTTTTTATTCTTTAAGGTGTATTTGGGTAATAGCTGGAGTAAGCATTACATCATTTTTGATTTGTTTGTGTGTGCAATGTAACCTTCTATTGTCTTTCTAATTCCACTGAATTGCTCAACAACTGTTTGTCTGATTCTGTTCCATAGACTGTATACCATCCGGGTCTGCCGTTATCTTGTTTTTCAGCAACAAGAAGTGACACGAGAGGGTGGAGCTAAGCACAACTATACGATGAATAAGGTATTTTTATGCGCCCAAATGTTACAATGAACTGTCATGAAGTGAAAGACACTGTGAAAGGGTTAAAGTTATAAGATGAAAACACAGCCAGCTCCCAGAGCGTGGCAGCGGCCTGTCAATCCCAAGGTAGCTACGCCCTAAAGCACGCCCTGCTTTATGGTCTGTTTTACTCTAAATGGGACCATAACTTACTAAATGAACATCGGGCTGTACTGAAGAGGACTTGAAACTAGCAATTGAGACCATAAACCAATGTTCACAATGTTTACTGAGGTAATAAATCAATTGAGAATTAGGGTCAGTTTCTCATTGATTTTATACAATGAGACTTCTTTTTGCAACAAGATGAGTCGCTCCCTGATGGCCATTTGAAATAATGCAAGTTTGAGGACGTCCACGTTAGTTTACATTTTTGAGATGCGGCGGTTGCCATCTGGCTCCATGCACCAGTGGCTACAAGGACACTGCCAACCAGTATTTTGTCTACCAGTACACACAAAATACTGCCTATAGAGTATTGACATCTGTGTATTCACTGTCAAAGTTTATGCCAGTCATTTATCAAAGTTTCAGAGGGGAGAAGCACACACCAGAGCAAATGTTTAAAATGGACAAATGTATGCAGCATGACGTAATAAAACATTTCAAACTGAAACTCTGGGTCAAATAACACTTAGCTATGTTTTTGAGTGCCACATTTGTGAGGATTATTGCGTCAGGACCGGCTAGACGGTATAAATGATATTCCAGTCAGAGACACTGTGACGGAATTGAACATTTATAGCAAATGGTTGTAATATTAGATTTGGCAGAAAAGGCTCTGCTCTTTGAGGTAGCTTTTAAAGAATTCAGGCAGCAACAATGCTGGCAGAGCTAATCCATCAGTTCTCTAAGAAACACACACATGTACATTAGATAAGGAATACTGAAAGATGAAGCACATCAGGAGGTTGGGAGCATATCGGGAGAGTAAAGGTGAAAGAAATCAGGTTATAATGGCCGTGCTATGCACCTGCATGAATGAGATTTTCAGATTTTTCCGCTAAAATGCTGCTTACTTGTTTACCTGGGTCAAGGTCATCCTCCTGAATTTGGTATTTACACTGTGTCGGCGCATGTCCCTGAAAAACAGCCTGTCATGGCTTCAATAACCAGGATTTAAAGGGCCAGTTCACTCCATCAGAACTGCTTGTCGGATGGCAAAAGAGCTTGTATTGAATTTACAATTCTCAACTGTTAAGCTTTACACCCCTAGTAGGCGTTACGGGTAATCCAAGTCACAAAATTACAAACCAATCGAACAAATTAGCAACTATAACACTATATATTAACACTATACTCCATCACCATACCCTGAAAACGTATTAATCCACATGAAAACATTTTAAAAAGGCATTTTATCACACCACTAAAAACCAGGTGTGGTTCTGATGCGGGAGCGTGCAAATACGTGCACACGAAAAGTAGTACATACCATCAACACATGAGGGCATGGCCCGGGTGGTGCCAGCGACCTGTCCAGGGAAGCAGGAACATTTGACAGTCTGAGATCTCTCCTCGATCTTGTTCTTGTTGCAGCAGCGATGGGCAGCGATCACCTCGCACGTCCCTGCCTTCACATGCACTGGAATATATATAGAGAGAGAGAGAGAGAGAGAGAGAGAGACACTGTGTTCAGTGCACCAGGCTCATTTAGTGTTTAACCCAACAAGTGATCTTGCATCAGACATTAACATTAAGTGTGCAGACAGAAGGAGAAGACAGACATATGTTATAACACTAACTTGGTTCCAGACCAATGAATCGCTGCCCAAGTAAAAAGCAACCAAGACAAATTAACTTTTGACAGGACAGATGTGTAAGTCACGGCCAAGGGACTCAGGCAAAACAACCATCCCTTTGCCAAAAAAAAATGGCAACATGAACATGATATCAGACTGAATAATGAAACGGAATGAAAGAGCAATCGAGGGTTATGAGAGCATTCCAAGATAGTAAGCCACAAAAGAGCAGTTTATAATCAGAACTAAGAGTCTTTATTGACGCACTGACGTGGGCACAAACCAAACCGTGCACCCGTGTAAAAATACATATTTGGCTTACAGACACTCGCACACAAACATAGCAAATCTGGAAGCTCCAGTTTCTGACTGCACGGCTGCTGAGCCACAGCTGCTCCTTCACTAAGAGGATCTGTATGAAAAATGTATGTTAATTCTCTTGTGGCCCTTCTGTAACACACAGGGAATAAAAACTCGGTAATTGAAAGAGAGAAAAACAACCAATGTTTGTATCCAACATACGGATTTGATTGTACGATGTAGCTATTCCAAGAGAGAGTTAGCTTTAATAATAATGAAGGGTTATGTAGGAAGCCCCTTCACTTCTTCTATAGCTACCTCTTTATGTGCACATTTATGTATACACACACTTCAATCACACAACTGTGTGGTTAATTAACAACAAGTCCACCCCGAGCACAGAAGTCCATTGAGTCGACTAAGAGAAGGAACAAAGAAATCACTTTTGAAGATTTGTGATGATGTCAACACATGGCCCTTTCATACCAGCCCTTCATCAAATACTTTAAAATGTCAAGGACAAACAATAGGCCTTGTCAAGAGCACTGTGTGCAGGAATACTGAGTGTGTGTGTGTGTGTGTGTGTGTGTGTGTGCCAATTTGTCACGATGTACCTACCACGTATACAGCTACGCTTGCCTTTGCTTTTGTGCAGCGTTTGTTGCGCTGTTTGTGTTTGTGAACGTACGCGTGCATGTTTGTACGGTCTTATACTTGCAAAAGTCAAAGTCTGGTGTGTGCTTTTTGATTTCTTTTTTACACAGTTGTTGGAAGTTGCTGCTATTTCCATTACAAAAGAGTCTGCCCATAATACAGCAAAGGGTACACACTGCGTGGCAATGAAAACCAAGGCAGAAAACAATGACTCCGCTCAGTCCAAAGAGTATTTAAAAGTGCGGTGAGCCAAAGTGAAAGACTAAAGACTGACAGTGAAAGGCTAACAGAGATTTGAAAAGTTCTTAATTTGCTCCGTTAATGAGAAAAAGACAAAGCAGCAATCCAGCAAAGCCCAGTCCAATTAACATCTCAGTGAAAAAGCACAGTGGAATATCCCACCCACTGTGTGTCTGCCTCTCAGCCTTCTCTCAGGCCCTCGTATTTCTCCTTTTGACCCGCTAGCAGTGGATTGTGATGATGGTGGATTGATCTGTCCATCAGTCCAACACTTTGGTCCACAGAAAGATATCTCATCACACAAATTGCCCACAAAAGTTGGTGTCAATAATAATGGGACTCGGAGAATGAATCCTACAGTAAGATGGTCGCGTCTCCTTGGTCAACTGTATTTCCTCACTTTTTTCTATTCCCACACATCAGGTCACACTTTTATGATCCCCACAAGATCTCTTTCCATTTTTGGTTTTACATGATATCTACTCAAACACCGACTTCAGGTCAAATTGTCAAGTTTGTACTCATGACAAGTTAATGGCCAGTTTGCCATGAAATTGAAATTAGATTCTCTCCCCCAGAGAATGAATTGTAGTTACTTTGATGATACTCTTAAACCAATGTTTCTAATTTCAACCCCAGATAACTGCTCGCAAACTAGATTTTGAACAATATAGCGAGCTGATTACATGTGGCTTCCCTCAGAGGGAGAACCTTTTTGAATTTGCAGATTTCTTGAGATCACTTTGACATTTCTATCTCCTTTCGTCGCAAAGCTGGAAGAATATCAAAATCAACAGTCTGCCATTCATGCCATCCAACAGTCATGCCCTGGTCTGAAATAGCAGCCTCTATTGGGCTTTAGCTTTGAGTTTTAGTTTTGTTTGATACTAATACCTCTCATTTTGCCATTTGCCCTCTCCCTCTTTCTATCTATATAAAGTTTGACAATCTTGTTGCCCGACACTCGGCTCAGGGAAATCAACACACAAAGAGTAAACACCTTACCCCAACCCCCATCGACACACACACACACACACACACACCTCGCGGCCCTTTTTTAGGCTCAGCACCTGCAGTAGTAATTGACTCAGCATTAGTAAGAGCGGCGGAGCACTGAGCTGAGTATAGAGGGATAATGAGGGGATGGGAGGGTGAGGACTTTACTGGAGGGATGTAAAAGTTCATTGACGCTCGATTAAGCAAATGAATGTTAATAGATGGCAAACCATTTCTTCAATATGGACCACATGGTGAACTAAATATGAGCTGGATCCATATGAGAGAATGGTTGAGTGATTATTTTGGCACTGCTTGATATGCAAATGTCTACAACAGGCTGTCGTGCTTTATTAAACGCATACTGTAATTGTCAGCTGAATCGCTGCCTGTTCAAGGTAATACTGTGTAAAGTTAATTTGACAACTTTTAAACCATTACTGCTGCCAGGTGGCAGTAATGGTTTTAAAATCACAGACAGAAAAAACGAAAGAAGTGGTAAATTGAGCGCTGAAGCCCCACTGACCAAAACTGTTTGATTATTATTGTCATTTTGATTGCTGCTATTCATGTTTTGTTTTTTCACTGTAATCATCGTGTCTGGGGTCTGGTTGTGGTTTTAATCCTCCAAATCAGCCTTTAAACTATGAAAATCTTAAAAAAACATTTTGGGGACGATGGATTTTGTGGAAGAATGCAGGACTCAATGTGTCAAAAAAGCTTCTTTTTTTTTTTAAACAGTACTGATTTCACATTTGATAAAAGGGAAACTGACAGTATTTGCTTCTGTTAGGCTCTTAGTGTGGACTCATGTACTCTGCCTCAGCATTAATCTCAATACATTCTATATATATACTGTTTAAATATGTCAAATATGTTGCTTCTTTTTTTACGGTGCATTTTAAGTATGTTTGTGCATAATGGAGGGCATAATGGAGACCACGCATCATTTCAGACTGTAATTATTCTTCTTGGTTTGACAAGTTACCAGGCAAGAGCAGAAAACATGGATGTTTTCTTTTGACTCTTTTGTTGGAGAGCACTCACCTCCTTCATCCTTCTCACTCCAGAGAAAGTGGAAAAACAACAGGAAGGGAATGTTTACCAGCGTCATGCCACGGTCAGGATTCGATGCCCTCAGCTTCTTGCAGTGCAGAGAGTGGCTGCTGGTGTTTCCAGTGTTGCAGTAAACGTCCAAATGCACTGGCTGTTACACATGTTACTGCTGCTTTTGTTGGTTAGCTTGGTGGACCTGAAGGACTTATATTATGACTTTATGTTGGTTGGATTTTATATTTGTCCTATAAAAAAAATTGACTCTTTTACATGGAGCATGACGGGATTTTAGGGTAAAATACATAAAAGATATGACAGGGAGATTGATCAGTACTCAAAGGAAAACAGTGTTTAGTGTGCTCTCACAAACACTCACAAAGCTGTTATTTTTATCACGCTGTGTGTGCATTTGTTTACGTACTGCCAAAATAAAAAGATGTAAACACGCAGAGAGGTGTTACAATCTCTAGAGAAATAAATGCTCACCATTGACTAACTCGCTGTGTGTGTGTGTGAGTGAGTTAGAGTGTGTGTGTGAGAGAGAGAGACTAATGATGCTAAACTACACTTAAAAAACATCAATTTTTAACAGGTGCGACTGCAACCCTCTTTCTATTTCATAGATGGCACCTATCTTACTTTGCAATCTCTCTAACACTTCGTCTAACCATTTCTGCTCTCCTCCATTCTCCTCCTCCTCATCTTCTCCATCTATCTCAGCTCATCCTACTGCCATTTCATAAATGACCCCCTCCTTTCACAACCTCTCTTAGCCACTCCAGCACCCCATTTCTTTCTCTTGCTCTTACCTCTGCACAGCAAACTCAGCAGGGTAGCAAACCATTATCCTCAATCACAAGCGCTAAATCAGAGACATTTTAACACTTTCTATGTGTTCCCCCTTCTCTCGCCATGTCTCTCTCTCTCTCACACTGTCTCTCCCCCCTCTCTAAGCTCCCTCCCATCTCTCTCCATGACATGGGAACTTGTTATCCCCGCTTCTCTAAACACAGCAGTTGCTGTTAACCCCATTTGCTAAAGATGACGTGCTACTGTCAGACTAACAGATGGACAGATTGCCCTCTGTGTGTGTGTGTGTGTGTGTGTGTGTGTTTGTGGTTTTGCTGACACACAAATCTCAGAGATAGCTCTCTTGGTCCCAGCGGGGTACTTCTTTTAAGTGTCATTCCCACCACTGGGGGCCTCTCTCTCTCTGGGGGCGAGAGATTCTCACACACACACACACACACACACACATGTTGCGGCATCCATCGTTACTGTATATAACCCTCCTCTGCCAAATGAGAAGCCTCACCACTAGAGCATTACTCTTCATATCCTTAAGTAGCCACTATGACACCGAGCTGGCAGTTCTACATATTTGGTGAGAATGTGCCTATGGATTTTGCTGTACCACTTTCTGGTCTGACCAGGTACGAAGCCTATCTTTGTCTCACAGCTGTGCCAGCAGCCTGCTCCTCTCCTTGTTGTGTTTTCTCCCGCCAGTTGGATCGGACAATAAGGAAGATAATCCCCAAAATGTTCTGTACGTTCACACCCAAACTGTCGGCTGATGTGACACCATCCAGAGAGAGTT